ATATCATTTAATCTAGTATAGCAGTGAAGGTAAGGCTATCATAGAATATCGGAATTAGAAGTGACTTGAATGACCACCTAATCCAATCTATGTCTGAACATGAATCCCTGTACAATATACCCTACAAGTGGCCATCCTGCCTTTACTGGGAAACCTCTAGAGACAGGAGGGATAAGAAGGGTATCATCTGAAGCAGCCCCTTCTGGAGTGCTTTAATTAGCAAAAGTTTTTCTCTGAACATCCTAATTGAATCATGTCTGTGGTTTAAGTTAAAAAAATAATTCTAGGGATGCTGTGGTAAAGAAATTGCATTTTCAGAAGAGCTTTGTAGTTTGTAATAGTGGCAATCCCATTATTTAAAATGCATAAGATTTTATTTTTATCCAAAAAAATTAGACTTTCATGATTTCCCTTTATCTTCTTTCACCAGAAAAGGAAAAATAAATCAAGGAGTTGAGTTTTTATTTGTAGTGATGATACATCAGCTTCCTAGCTGAATCAAAATGTAAATGCATTTCAAATCCAACTAAGGCTACTTGTTCATAAATACATTATTGTGAATTGAGGATTTTTCCAGTGCTGCAGTGTTTATACTTTACTAGATGAAAAAAAAAATTAAACTGGAACATTAATAAGCCAGGACTTGAAATAACTAATGGACATTCTGGCCCTGATCAGGATGGTAGCAACTTATAGAGACAATTTTATTTCTTTGTCTGTGTTTTATCTCAGTTTGTCAGTTTTAAAAGTGTTCTTAAATGAAAGCCCCTGGGATTTTTCAGAGAGAGAAAAACAACTAAATAGTATGTTTATAAAATTTGTGGGACCTCTGTCATGCTGAGGAAAGGTCATGGAAACAAATTTTTATGACCTCACAAATTACTAGATAGGTTTATTTGATTTAATCAGCATCCTTAGGGATTCTCTAATTGCATAATAAGGCATTTATTATGGAGGTTATTTTTTTTTCTAACTGTGGTCTGGGTGGCATTAAAACTGTTATTTCTTTGTCATCTTATTTTAAATCTGTGGCTCTGAATGCTGTGCCAAGCTTCTAGCCAGAAAGGGTCATATTCAAAGATTTACTCCTGTGTACAAAAACAGGCATTTCAAGAAACATAAGATTTCACTAGTGAGTGTGACTGACTGAATAGAATACTAGACTTAGAGTTAGGAAGACCCTGGTTAAAAATCCTGCCTCAAACCCTTGTGGGCTGTGTAAGCCAAAGATAATAACTTAATTTCTCTGCACCTCAGTTTCTTCAGCTCTAAGATCCCTTCTATCTCTCAATCTCCCTAGGAAAAGGCATCTACAATCAGTGCTTCTCCTTCTTCACTGCCAATTCACTTCTCAATCCTTTTTAAACTGACTTCTGATCACACCACTATTCTCAAATTGCTTTCTCAAAGGTTACCAATTTTTTTTTCTTTTAATGCTGAATCCTATGTCTGTTCTCAGTCTTCATCCTTCTGAACCTCTCAGCAGCTATTGAGACTTTTCACTGCCCTCTCTTCATCAATAAACTCTCCTCCCTTGGCTTATGTAATTATTTACTTCTAATTCTTCTCCTGTCCATCTGAGTCTCCTTTCTGAATCCACTATCTATATCCTACCTTTTTAATTTTGGTGCCCCAGAAATCTCTATACTGGTATCTCTTCTTTTTTACTTTATCTTGATATCATCTGCTCCTGTGGCTTCAATTATCATCTTTGTCTGATGAGAAGACAGAGTAGAACAGTGCAAAGAATGCTGACTCTGAAGTCAGAGAACCTGGGTTCAAATCTCATTTTTAATTCTTACCGCCTGTGCTGTTACTATGCATGTGATCATGGGCCTCAATTTCCTCACCTGTAAAATGAAGCTGTTGGACTAGATGGCCTTCAAGGTCTCTTTCATCTCTCTATCTGTGATCTATATGTGTATACATGGAATCATAATCCCTCTCATGAACCCCATTCCCCTATCTTCAACCTAGACATGTCCTGAATTTCATACGCATCTCACATCTGACATATCCAAGCTGAATCTTAATTACTTACCAATTAACATGACTCTTCTTCAGACTTAGCTGTTATGGTTGAAGGCATCATCATTTTTTCAGTTTCCCAGGTTCACAACCAGTCATTCTAGAGTCTTCTCTTTCCATCTCCTCCCTCTAACAGGTAATAAGCTGCTATGTCCTATTGATTTTACTTCCTCAAAGTCTCTAACATCCTCCCTCTTTCTTTATAGGGCTCACTCAGGCTCACAATCTTTTGTATGGACAATGATAATAATCTCATTATTGATGACCCTTCTTCTAGTCTTTCCCTTTTCTAATCTATCCACTAGCTAACAAAATACTCTTCCTAAAGTATATGAGTCTGACCGTATCACTCCTCTCCTTAAAAATGTTTTTTTGTTTCTTAACGATTATATGAGTTAAAAAAAAAAAACAACTAACCTGTTAGTCTAGTTAAAGGCCTTCAACACACTATCTGTGACCTACCTTTTCAGCCTTATTTCACAGTATTCTCCATCATGTACTCTATGTTCTAGAAAGGCTGAACTACTAACTATTCTCTGAACTTGATGTTCTATTTCCTACCTCCATGAATTCCCACAAGTCATCCCACCTGGTGACGGCACTTCCTCTTCTGCCCTGCTCCCAGAATGTTTATCTGCCTTCAAGGCTTAGCACTTTCTTCCAACTTCCCTTCAACAGCATCTAGGGCATTAAATCTTCTGATTAGAAGTTTTTCTCTAAACATCTTAATTGAATCATGTCAGTGCTTTAAGTTAAAAAAAATAATTCTAGGAATTATATGGTAAAGAATTTGTACTTTTTATTAATTAATTAATTTATTTTTAGTTTTCAACATTCACTTCCACAAGATTCTGAGTTTCAAATTTTCTGCCCATCTCTCCCCTCCCCCCATCCCAAGACAACATGCATTCTGAATACCCTTCCCCTAATCTGCCTTCCTTTTATCACCCTCTCCCTTCTCTTATCCCCTTCCTCTTCTATTTTCCTGTAGGGCAGGATAGAAAGAATTTGCACTTTTCAGAAGAAATTTTTAGGTCACACACTAGTAAGTCTCAGGCAGATTTGAACTAAGGAAGAGTATTCTTAACCTCAGGCCCCACACTCCACATAGCTGCCCCAACTTAGATAATTAGGTACTTAGTTACACAGGTACTTAAGCACTTAAATATTTAGACAATTAGCTATTAATGCACTTGGGTATTTAGGTATTTAAATGCACTCAGGTACATAGGTACTTAAATATGTACATCAATATGCATGTAAGTACCTAAGGAACTGTAAGAATAGATACATAAATATATGTAGGGGAAATGGGCATACAAGTTCTTCAGCACTTCAGTATTTAGGCATCTAGGTGGCACAGTGAGTAGAGTGCTGAGCCTGGAGTCAGGAAGACTTAAGTTCTAGTGAAGTCCTCTGTTGGCCTTAATTTCCTCATTTGTAAAATGAGGATAATAATAGCACCTACCTTTCAGTATTGTTATGAGAATCAAATTAGATAATAATTATAAAGTGGTGGTTTATAGTAAGCATTATATGAATGTTAGCTGTCTTCATCATTCTTACTTAGGAACATAGACACTTAGGTAATTAGATGATTATGTACTTAGATAATTAGGTACACAGGTACTTAAATACTTAAGTACTAAGATACAGTAATTAATTAGTTGTTTAAAAACTTATGCACCTGCATTTAGGTATTTAGGTAATTAGACACTTAAAGACTTAGGCAATTAGGTATACTTAGATTTCTATTGTTTAGTTTCAATGTATTTATTGGTGACTGTCATCCCTCACTGTCATTTGGTGAGCAACTCATCTACTTTCTCTACCCTCCACCCCAAACTCCACCTCCACAACTCACACATCACCCCTCTCCCCAGGACATACAGTTCTCTAATGACTTTCTTTATATCACATTAATGCGTGTTCATGTATTAGAATGACAAAGTGAATGTTCTGATGGCAGATTAGTTCAAAGAGCCTCTAAAAAATTGATTAGTCAGGTTTTATTCTCTGAAATCTCTCAGTTCTCATCTCAAGAGTATCTCAAATATTAGTCTTTCCAATGAAACTAAAAATGTTATGGAAATATATTGATATGGGAATATCACAATACAAAAGATGTTCTTTTCTGAGGCTTCAAAAAGACTTACTTTGAGCTCTGGATGGTGGTTCTGAACCTAACCCTTTAAAACCTTAAAAAGACACCAAGAAAACTTATTGTTGTTTTGAGATTTAAAACATCTGGTGGTTCCTGAACTTAAAAATATTGGGGAAAAGTATGCATTGTAGGAATGAACACAGGAGACTTTCTGCATGATGTCCTTACTTTCCAAAGTGTAGTGTAGAAATGTCAATGCCAGAATAGTGCAGTGGTAAGAGATGGACCAATAAAGTTATACTATCTATTTAAAAGTAAATGCAGCAACAGGCTGTTCATGTTGCTAATCAGGCAGTATACAGTCATTTGCCTAGAGGCAGATATCACTGAAATAGAGAGCAAAGACCATCTCCATAAAGAAAGGAATTTCCTAAACCTTTTGGATTAAGCCCAAATCTCTGTCCTAGTCCAGGAATAGATCAGATATAACTTCCCATTACCCTGAGGGCCAAAAAATCAAATCAAAGTTGATAGAATATAAGATTTTTAAAAAGAGGTATTTCCAATCAGCAGTTTTACTTCTTCATAAACATCTGTATATAAAGAGGATTAGGTATTATTATTAAATTATTAAATACCAAAGGATTTTATTTTAAAATTATTATTAATTACCTACATTTTTTATGTTTGCTTCATTGGAAAAGGTGAAAGAAGAGTCTAAAATAATCCTAATGAGTTGTATGATATTTCTGGATTGTTTTGAGAAAAAAATTTACTCCATGTCATCCTCTTATTTTTAAATCATCTCTGTTTACCTGCTCACAGAATATTGAATTCTTGATTGCAGTATTTTCTGCTTTGCATTTAGGCTGGAGGAGAAAAAGCTAGTTCTGAAGAAGCCTTGATATATGAAGAGGATTTAGATGCAAGAGATGCTATTGAAGGGGAATTGGAAGAAAGTACAAAATTAAAAATATTGCGTAGGTTTGCCTCACTTGCTTCCAGATTGAAAGAGTTCATTGGCAATATGATCGCTACTGCTGGAAAAGTTGTTGTGACCATCTTACTTGGTTCAACAGGTTGGTGCTTTTTGTAGTTCCCAAAGACCTCAGTTGGGTTAAGTATGTAGCAAATGAATATTTGGCACATGGAGGAATAAGGAAATAAATGTTCCCAAAAAACAACCACTTATCTAACTTGTAAAACTGGAAGAGACCTCAGAGACTCCTTTGCCTTACAGATGAAGAAACTGAGGCCCAAGAAGGGTAATTGGCTTGCCCACAGTCACTCAAGGAGTGAGCCTCAGAGGTGGTAGGTATCTAAACATAAGCCCCCTGACTCTAGAACCAGCATTTTTTCCACTTCACTATGCTACTAAATTAATAACAGGAGTCCTCAAAGAGGGGGTTTCATGTTCAAACCCTGGGTGATTTTTTTCCCCACTTAAATTCTATTGTATAGTATAGATGTTATTTGATGCCAGAAAAATGTCATGGCCCATTGATAAGATTGTTTCTGCCAACCCTTTCCACTTTCAGATTCCTCCTGCAAGTGTGCTCCTTCCTTGCAGGCTTTTATTTCTTCCTGTTAATACATTGCATTACAGATAATCTAAAAATGCGAATCTTATGGCATAAGGACATGAGCAATATAGATATCCACATTTTATTTGTGACCATATTGTCTTAATCCAACTACTAGGCATAGAGTATTCTCCTTCCTAATTTAGCTTATAACCTCTCCCTAACTCTTCCCAAACACTCCTCCCTCAGTGTTTTCCTCTCATTTTGGCCAACTGAGTTGGGTGCATAATGATGCTAGTTTTGTCTTCTACACCCTCCTCCCTTTGGGATTTTTAATTACAGCATTAGAGGAGACTGTATATCTCACAAAACCAGGATCACAGGACCATTTTAGATTATGGAGGCAGGAGATGTATCAATAGTTTTGAAGGAAAAAGTCTGCAAGAAGATATTTCAGTTGTCAAAGAGATGCTGCTCAATAGATGGATTAAAAAAATTATCTCAAACTGAACCAGAGATGGATTCACAACCCCTGTGGTTTAGCTATCTTATGTCATAACATTTTATAGGGTAGAACAGAATTTTGATATGTTATAAATTTCCATGACCTGCTGCATTATTATAATGATAGTGAAATCATAGTCCATCCAGAAAATTAGTAGCTTCTGTGCATTACAATAGACTAAAATTTCTATGGGAACATCCCCACTTTGAAATAGATACTTTGTTCATTAACGTAGGGAAAAAAGATTAGGCAAGTAAATTCTTTAGCTAGAAGCCTTTGAAAGCTTGGTCATAATACTTTTACCATGGCTAACACTTCTCAGAGCATTTTTTATCTGATTCTCAGAAAAGGAAGAGATTTCCAAAAATTTTTTTGAACAAGTGTCCAGATTAACTTTCGGTTGACTACCAAAGCAATCTATCAGAAAGGAGATAAGGAGAAAGAAACTGCACATTTCCTCCTAAAAATTTGGGATAGGGATGGATTGTAGGAGAAGGAAAATGAATATATAAATGTATAAGTAATTTCAATGATGATAAACATATCTGTTTACTGTGCTTAGAAAGTAGAAGTAAGATTTGTTTGTATGGTTATTTCCTAGCCTTAGTATTATATATGATGCTAATTAGTTGTAGTTTGTATTTGAAAAATGCTTTTCCAGCTGCATATCAGTATTTTAGAATTCCATTTCTCCCCTCTCAGGTATGATGTTACCGTCTTTGACTTCATCAGTATATTTCTTTGTATTTTTGGGACTATGCACATGGTGGTCTTGGTGCCAGACTTTTGACCCACTGATATTCAGCTGCCTTTGCGTTTTAATGGCCATCTTCTCTGCTGGGCACTTGATTGGACTTTATTTGTACCAGTTCCAGTTCTTTCAGGAAGCAGTTCCACCTGGAGACTACTATGCAAGGTAAGTGTGCGTTTAAATTGTAGACTAGGCTGTTTTGGGCTGCTAGGCCCCAAGCTAATGTATAGTTATGGCTACTCAACTTAGCACTCCCAAAAGGCCGTAAAATAACCAGCTGAATCAATGAAAAAATATCATAAAAAAGTAATGTTATATAAAGCATGGAAAACCAATCCCAACTCCAATTCTTAAAAATTTTCACCCCTCAGCTGATTATAATCAATGAAGATCTAGATGAGCCTTTCCTAACTAAATAGCCAATAGACATTTTAAACAAGATTATGTTCCATAGGGATAAGATGTTTTATGGACATATTTAAATTAAAATGACTGTCTTTGATGTGCACTTAAGAATTACTTATTTTAAAAAAATGACATAAATAAGGATATTACAATGTGGATATTGCTCCCCTCTTTTGATTACACATTACTCATTTCTCTTTCAGACATTCAATTTATGGTTTTGAAATTTGTTGAAAGAACTGAGTTTCTCAGAGTTTAAGTGCTGACTTTTAGGAGATGATATACTGTAACTGGAAAAGTAAATATCACCATAAAAGGCAGGGTGGAGGGGGCAGTCTTTATTGTTGTTTGTTTTACAGTAAAGGATCTTTTGTGCCACCTAGAGGCAGTTTGTTGGCAAAACAAAGAAAAGACACCAACATTGGAACATGTAACTTGTGTCCATGATTAAAAAAAAAAAATTAAAACTTATCTGACTTAATTCCAATTTGTTGGTCCCAAAGCTTAAATTCATTGCAGTTTAACTAAATCTCTATAAGAATAAATCCCTAACAAGCTTTTAGGTCACTACCAAGTAAAAATTTTAGTCAGTTTCTTTTTTAAAATATTAATATTAATAAATCTAATATAAAATTGCATTTGCTTAAGTTTTTGTACCATGCAAATTTATTGATGTTGGGAACATTTTTATATTATAAACTTTGAGAATTTCATCTACAAGATAATAATTTTTTTCTAATAATCATACTATGTGAATTCTGGTATCAAAGATAAATGTAAGCTGAAGACTAGGAAAAAATATTCTTAAGTAAGGGTTGTTTTGTTTTGTTTTTGTTGTTTACTTTAGCAGAGAATTTTAGAATTGAAAAGAACCTTATTCAATATCCTTGCGAGAAACATCTTCATTAAACCCAATTCAGACTCAGTTCTTATCTTATTCCTATATATAAATAGCAGCCACAGAGAGATAGAACTCTTTTTGAAGAAGTAAAATAGGCATAATAAAATAATACCTAGAGAACAGTGCAAGGAGAGCCAATAGTGAACTATAATTGCTTTTGGTCAAGCAACGTAGGACAGATCAATGGACAGGATGACAAACAAAATCAGTAAGTCATATGTTGTGAGACAATGTCTAACATGGGAATTTGAGGGACAGGGTAGGAAGTTGTGTGGATAAACCTGTTCTGGCTGTTTAGTTCTAGATGCACCACTCTGATAGGCAAACTGGAGGAATGATTCTGCCAATAAAGGTTCAAATACAATTTAATTTTTTCAAAGTAAGGGTTTGATGTACTATTTTTATTGCATAGGGTGTCCAAAAAGTCTTACTGCAATTTTAAGCTTTAATAATTTGAAATGTATAAAAGCTACAAGCTTATAAAAATATCATTTGGAGATATAATTATTTATATTCATTTTATATTTATTTGCTTTTGTAAATTTTGAAGAACATTTTTTAATTTTAATTTTAATGCAATAGAACATTCTGTCATGTATTGTATTACAACAGTTTCTGGATGGCACTTTCTCAGACTTGTGCTTGGCTACCTCACTTACATCTATGTCCATCAGGGTTTCAAAACTGTTCTGTATGTATCAAAACTTTATATTCAGATACTTTTAAGGCTAGGATTACAAATGGAATCCTTTCAGTCACTGAGCAACAGCTGATGAAAGTTTTTGCAAAGTCCAAAAAATGACCAGAATGATGTACAGCACAAAACTGAGGTTAGATTGAATTTTAATAAGAAACATTACTATTTTGAAATTTTAAATAATTAACTTTTCAAAATTTGGGGGGTAATTTTTTAAGCAATTTTTGTTTTTGAGTCAAGTCAAACTCATCATGACCCCCATTTGAATTTTCTTCGAGTGGTTTGCCATTTCCTTCTCCAGCTCGTTTTATGTATAAGGAAACTGGAGCAAACAGGATTAAATGACTTTCCCAGGGTCACACAGCTAGTAAGTTTCTGAGGCCAGATTTCTCAGGAGCATGCATCTGCCAGACTTCAGTTCTTGCACTCTTATCTGCTGTGTCATCTAGTTGCCCCTTTTTAACATTATTCTTTTGAAGTTTTGTAAACTTAAATTTACACTAAGACTTTTAAGATATCCTATACTCTTTTGCATAGAGTAGAACCCTAACATAACAAGTTAAATAGGTAGAATATGGTGTTGATGGCCTCATTTTATTCTTTCAATGTCCCTTTCCTCCTTTGGACAGCTCTTCTTTCTTCTGTGTCCTAACTGACCTTGTCGAGAGTGTAACTGCTCTCCAAATATTTGCCTTATAAATGGGCACTAGGAAGTCTTTGAAGATATAGTAAATTGTTACAATCAAAGAATCATTGTCAATTGGGTTGCTCTTTTGAAGGTAATGCCCCTACCTACCAGGGAAGGTAGACCTAATCCTTAATAAAGTCACTTTTCAATAACACTGACTCTGAACCTAGATTTCAGGGACCTAGATGGCATCTGCCTCAAGGGTTGTGTGTGTATGTGTGTATATATATATGTGTGTGTGTGTGGGTGTGTGTGGGTGTGTTAGAGTAAGCATGGCATTGTTGGTCAGAATATGATTTGACTTTCAGCATAATTAAGTCTATCATGTATTGACAAATTTTACGATAAGCTTTCATTAAGTTTCAAACCTAATTTTTCTTTGGTTTTTGGAGAGTATTATTAGAAGGCTAGGTCAGTAATTTGAGTATATGCTTCACATATGGTCCTCTATAACCTAAGTGAAGCTGGAAACTAAGGTGATTTTGAGGATAAGAAATAAATAGATGCCCCATTAAAAATAATTTTCTTTCATTAATTAATGTCAGGCTAAGATTTCTTTATACAAAACCCAGTCCTTTCTTTGGTAGGTTATAATTGAAAGAGGATGATTCTGACATCACAAGAGTAGTTTGCCTAGTTACTAATTTTGTGACATTTTAATCCATCTTAGCCTCAGTTTTTTCATCTGTAAAATGAGGATATTTGATTTCTCAGGTCCCTTCCAAGCCTAAAACCCCTTTGAGTCAAATACTGGGATTTTGTTTTAATTGAATATTGACTTGTCCTATTCCTTGTAGACATATACACCTTACATTGAATCAAGGAAAAGCTTTAAAGGCTCACAAATGTTTTCTTCACAGCAATTCACTGAGGGAATTTAGCTGGTGTTTTTACTGATTACCTTCCATTTGCTTCTTCTACTTGCCTTGTCAAAAAGAACAATCTTAAGATTGGAATCTAATTGTGCAAATATAAATGAATTTTCTATCAATTATATCATATATATTTATGAAGGCTTCCTGTGTGCCAGGCGCTACAGTAGGTGCTAGTAATACAAATAGGGAATGGGAAGGAGAAACAAGCATTTATTAAGTACCTATTCTATGTCAGGCACTGCTAAGTGCTTTTTAAATTTTATCTCACCTACTCATTCTGGAGGAATTTACATTCTTCTGATACACTTAAAAGATGAACTTCCTTAAGATTAATTTATTTTTTAAGGCTAATTTAAAAGTTTTAAAACTTATTTATGCTTAAATCTTTGGGTCTGGGCTGGGTTTGATGATGAAGGGAGAAAAAAATAATTATTAAAGGAGCATTTCTTGATAAAACAATAGTCACATTATTTAACATTTAAAAATCTTTACATGTTCTACATGTATTATGTATATATTGTAATAATTGTTTTATTAGCAGGGGAATGAAGCTATATTTATTTTTGTATTGTAAAAGAGAAAGACAAAACAACAACAACCATTCCATGGTCTAAAACTCTAACTCATGGGTTTAAATAGATGTCTATGTAGATTAAGCGGAAAAAAAGTTGAAAGGATAAGTGGACATGATGTTTATAAAATAGATAGAATTCTATAGTTTCTACTGTTAAATCTATGTCAATACACACACACACACACACACACACACACACACACACACATATATATACATTTTATATACTTATATATGTTGGGCAGCTAGGGGGCACAGTGCATAGAGTTCCAGGTCTGGAGTCAGGAAGGCCTGAATTCAAACCCAACATCAAACATTTACTATCTGTGTTACTCTAGGCAAGTCACTTAACCCTCTTTGCCTCAGTTTCCTCATCTGTAAAATAAGCTGGAGAAGGAAATGGCAGACCACTCCAGTATCTTTGCCAAGAAAACTCCAAATAAGGTCATGAGGAGTTGTACATGACTGAACTGACTAAACAACAATGACGAAATATACATACTGTTTCTCTTCACAGGATGTAAGCTCCTTGAGGACAGGTGCTTTTTAATTCCATGTTTTTATGTGCCTAGCACCTTGCAAAGTTCTTTGCATAGAGTAGATGCTTAATACATTCTTGTTGAATGATTGATTGAAGTCAGTATCACTAGAGCTGAGCCTTAAAAAGAGCTAAGTAGTGTGGGAGCATGAAATGGGTGAAGAGGGGAAGTAATGGGTAATCATCCTAGAAAATTTCAACACATTACAAAAGACAGTGGAAAAATGTAGAGAAAGGTGATGACTTTCTCTATGTATTATCTTTCCATTGGTGATTTTAGCTCCCAATGGTTAGTACCAAGTTATGGTGACTACTATGTTGTATGACTTCTAGATAACCTGCTCCTAGTTCAAAAGGAATGCACTCAATCTTGCACATGCTCAACTCTATTAGACATTGCCTGATTTTCCTTTGTAGGATCCAGACTGAGAAAATGAACACCCTTTTGCAGTGTGGCCTGGCCTGGCCTAGCCTTGCCTGGGATTGA